AAATTTCGTGAGTTTCAGGACCTACTTTAGGGCCTCCATATCCCCGTGGTAAAATATGAAATAAATCAGTACACTCAATTCGGAGAATACTTTCCCGAACTATTTGACTTTGCAGATATACATAGGCTGATTCTGTAATATCACCTAAAGGTGAAGTGAAACACGTCGCGGAACTTGATCAACGTCGTTAAAGAAAATTTTTCTAAATGCCTACGTTGCCGACGTTCGTTTTTACATTGACAGCTGCATCGAATTATATTGGGTATTGTCCCAAATGGCATACTCCACCTGTCGTTTTCGTATAATAATTATAAAGAAATCGAAGTAAAATTCCAGAAATCCTCTGGATTCATGCTTTCTGGGGCCCTAATTGACTGCAGCCATCTGTGATTTCCAGGTCAATTAAATTTTCACTCCGAGACCTCGTATTACCATCGTTTTGGCATAGAAGCGCATACAACACTTTTTTTGCCTTTATCCCGTTCAAATTCGAGTTTATCGATTACCAGAGTGTTCTAAATTGTCGTAAAATTGTCCTGACCCTTTCGATTCTCATATCAGAGCCTTCGATAATTGTATATTGATCGAAATATGAGAGCTCGACGCCATTTTGGTTCTGGTCTGGGCTGAGTAAAAAGATTTTGTTAAAAAATCCAAATTTTGAATGTGCCAGGACAATTCTTAGATGATCAGGAGTGATGTGCCAAAGTTTCGGACAGTTCGGTCTAATACCCTTAAAAAAAAAGTGTTGTATTCGAATCGACTGATTTGAAGGGGGTTTCACTTCACCTTAACCCTTTGGGACCCGGAATTTTGGAAAATAAAAAGGCCCACGTTGCACAAAAATTCTATTCCTCTTTAAATCAAACAAAGTTGGTTTATTTTTATTAACAAAGGAACGACATAATATAAAAACATAAAAAATAATAATAACTCAATTAAGTTTTTTGTTATAGGGTAGGACTCAAATAGCCCCACCGTGCATATTCACCCATTAAAAAGGTGGGATACTTTTAAACCTTTACCACCGTGCCTCAGTGTTAATGGGTGTTTCTTTGGGATTCAGGAAAATGCCCCTGCAGTGGGGATGATTCCCTCGAATTTCAGACCCGAATGAGCGTTCTCCATTTTCCAGGCGCAGTAAATCTCGAGGTACCGTTTGCAACGGCACACACGGTAAACAAGGAACGGCGCCTCGTCGTGCCACCGCATATCCACGACCTCTTTTGTGCGATTTGCAGCAGATGCGCCCAAAGAGGAGGCCGGCCCGGGAAAACGCCTCGCGGAGGCCGCGGAACTGCAAGAAGAGGACGCGCATACTCGGCCGATACCCGCAGCGTATACGTGCAGCGTGCTCCAGTGCACCGGCGCAACGTGCGCACGCTACACACGCTGCACGCGGGTGATCGGTGTGCACAGCTGCATTTACCGGAACCGCCGACGCCGACGCCAACGCCAAGCAGTCTGGCCGAGCGACGCGAGTCCGAAGAAGCGTCTTGGTGCATGTGCATCCTCGCGGATCCGTGAATATACGAGATGCAACTTAGTTCATCTGCGCGCATCTGGATGCATGCCTGGTCTTGGTACGCACTCGTGCGTCTGATACATAAACTTTGAAAAAAAAAGAAAAGGAAAAAAAAAATGCATCGAACCAAAGAAGCATTTTCTTAACACATTCGCGAGCGGCAAATTTTTTCCGTTTCAAATACTAAGTACCGGCGAAAATAATGAAATTCTGAAACTGGTTGCCGCAAACTTGTATCGTGTATCGTCATGGACGTGATTCACGTCAGACTTTAAGGTGAAGTGAAACATCGTTCAAATCAGTCGATTCGAATACAATACTTTTTTTTAAGGGTATTAGACCAAACTGTCCGAAACTTTGACACATCACTCCTGATCATCTAAGAATTGTCTTGACACATAAAAATTTGGATTTAAAAAAAAAATTTTTAACTCAGTCCAGACCAAAACCAAAATGGCGTCGAGCTCTCATATTTCGATCGATATACAATTATCGAAGGCTCTGATATGAGAATCGAAAGGGTCAGGACAATTTTACGACAATTTAGAACACTCTGGTAATCGATAAACTCGCATTTGAACGGGATAAAGGCAAAAAAAGTGTTGTATGCGCTTCTTTGCTAAAACGATGGTAATACGAGGTCTCGGAGTGAAAATTTAATTGACCTGGAAATCACAGATGGCGCAGGGGGTCCCTCCGCAGTCAATTAGGGCCCCAGAAGGCATGAATCCAGAGGATTTCTGGAGTTTTACTTCGATTTCTTTATAATTATTGTACGAAAACGACAGGTGGAATATGCCATTTGGTACAATACCCAATATAATTCGACCCAGCTGTCAATATAAAAACGAACGTCGGCAACGTAGGCATTTAGAAAAATCTTCTTTATCGACGTTGATCAAGTTCCTCGACGTGTTTCACTTCGCCTTAAAATAACGTGAATTCACGTCAGCGGTCGCGAATGTGTTAACACGAAGAATAATTATTTGACTCTAATAAATTCCCACAACAGCGAGTAAATGTTGCACCGAATTTATTTAAGTTCATTCCGAGTGAAATAATTACTCTTCGAATGAAGAAAAGTATTTCATTTGTTCAATGAAGCAAGTGACATTTCTTTCTCAGCGTACACACGTGAAACCCGACTTGGCGCACACTCGTGCATCTATATACACGCGGTGGTACACGCACACGTACCTGTATATACAAAACGCGCGTAGGTGTACTTTCGCGCATCCAAGTGTACGTAAATCGCATGAAAAGGATTTTCGAAACTCGGCTACGAAATGGCATAAGCGCATTTTCGGCGTGAATGCGCCGACGAAATTCCTGCGGCAGATCATGAAGACATCCTGGAGGAATTCCCGATGCACCGAAGGAAAGAGGCGGGGAGGAATCTGCAATTCAGAAATCCAGGATATTGACGATTGGGACCTATTTGATAGCGATGTCGGCGAGGTTTCCCATCGGGGGCGAAGTGGAGCACGAAAACGAAATATATGAATATAGGTGGAGGTGTGTGGGGCACCCCTTTAAGGTGAAGTGAAACACGTCGAGGAACTTGATCAACGTCGATAAAGAAGATTTTTCTAAATGCCTACGTTGTCGACGTTCGTTTTTATATTGACAGTTGGGTCGAATTATATTGGGTATTGTACCAAATGGCATATTCCACCTGTCGTTTCCGTACAATAATTATAAAGAAATCGAAGTAAAACACCAGAAATCCTCTGGATTCATGCCTTCTGGGGCCCTAATTGACTGCGGAGGGACCCCCTGCGCCATCTGTGATTTCCAGGTCAATTAAATTTTCACTCCGGGACCTCGTATTACCATCGTTTTAGCAAAGAAGCGCATACAACACTTTTTTTGCCTTTATCTCGTTCAAATGCGAGTTTATCGATTACCAGAGTGTTCTAAATTGTCGTAAAATTGTCCTGACCCTTTCGATTCTCATATCAGAGCCTTCGATAATTGTATATTGATCGAAATATGAGAGCTCGACGCCATTTTGGTTCTGGTCTGGACTGAGTTAAAAAATTTGGTTGTAAAATCCAAATTTTTAATGTGTCAGGACAATTCTTAGATGATCAGGAGTAATGTATCAAAGTTTCGGACAGTTTGGTCTAATACCCTTAAAAAAAAGTGTTGTATTCGTATCGACTGATTTGAAGGATGTTTCACTTCACCTTTACGGCCGCGCAAAATGCTGGGAAAATCCTACGGTAATCCCCTGAAAAGCCGGGGGATAATTAACGCCGATAAACGACGTCCTGTCCCCTGGACGTGGCAGTTTTAAAAGTAACATCGACGGCTCCGGGGGAAGATGAAAGAGAGTGCCCATCGATTGGGAGGTCGGAGAGAGATCGCTGGACGTAGGAGGTCCTGGGGGAGTCTGCGAGCGAATCTGCGCGGCATCCGCGTCGGCAACCCTGAATATCGTAATTGCTGATCCTAGGGGCCGTCTCCGAAGACGTTGCGTCGCTGAAGATCTGAAACTAGCGAAACCTCTCGGGCCCTCAACGCGAAACCGCGGTAACTTTGGCGATTCGATTAATCCAACTTAACTGGAAAGGGGATTCAATCGCAAATGGCATCGGAGCGAGACTCTTCGGCGAAGAGCGGAAATCCACTCCTGGAAGTCTTGACTTCGCTCCGTGCCAGGAGTTCAGATTTTAAAACATTAAGATGTCTAGATGAAATCCCTCGGGATGAAAATCAGGATTTATGACGATCTGTGCAAATATTTTTCCACTTTTCATCACATATCACCTTAAGAAAGGGTCATTCCATATGTGTGTATATATCAAAACGTGAACATATAAAGCTTTTCTCGTGAAATTACATTTTTCGGAAAAAAATGCCTTTTTTTGCTTCTTCTCTGAGATTGATACAAATTTTTTTTCTCGAAAAATGAAATTTCACGAGCATCGCGCTCTTCCTTAGGGCCTCCATAATCTCGTGAAGGTTCAAATGATTCGGTGCACCTAGTTTGGAGAAAAGTCATATAAATATTTTTACTTTTTGGTGTGTATATGTGACACATTCATGTCACCTTAAGGGAATGCGAAAGTGGCATCTGAGAAGTCAATTACTCATGAAACTTTTCTCCGAATTGGGTGTACCGAATCGTTTCAAAATTTATAATATGAACACGGAGACCATAAGGAAGGTCACGATACTCATGAATTTTCAGTTTTTACCAACAATTTTGAAAATACCCATAAAGCAATTGTTAAAAAATTGAAATTGAATTTTCAAGAGTGTCAGGACCTTCCTTATCGCTTTCATGATCATATTTTCAAGTTGGACACGATTCGGTACACCCAGTTTGATGAAGAGTTTCATAAACGAGACCTCTTTGACGCCACTTTCACATCGCCTTAGTACTCACAATCCCGTATCGAGGATTTCGTTACATACACCCAAGTGAACGGACCGCGCTGTAGCAGAATGAAAAAAGGGATAAACTCACTTTTCTTGTATCTTCTTTAGCCGCTCCTTGTCCTTCTTCTTGCGTTTCGGTTTCAACCCCGGATTGTACTGCCCCTTCAGCTGGAACTTCGCCCTCTGGACTGACAAAGTCTTCCCTCTCAGCTGGCTGCCGTCTAGGATCTTCAAGGCCAACTCCACGGATTCCACCTGCAAAGAAGCAGTATTTTTAATTTCTTTTATTTTCGGATACCGATAAAATTAATTCGCGAATTTTAATCGATGTTGGACTAATGCCCTGACCGGTTGGCCGTGCCCCGTAGTCGGGTTTACATCCGGAATATATATTCCGAATTTGTCGCGTGGATTTCAATGGGAGACTCCGCGCGATTCAATATCCGCGTTATCGGGCTACCGTTGACGGTCGAAGCCTGAAGTATATATATAAAACCGTCCGTATTGAAGTTTATTCAATAATTCTGTATGCCCTTTCACGGATAAGCGCGGCTCGACTCCAGCGCGGTACAGATACGAAACGGACGTATGTAAATCGGCCTTTATTCGGGCTTGCGGCAGGATAAACCCATCTGGATAACACGGTTCGCGTAATTTAGGGAGAGCGCGTTTCAAAGCTCGACAACGTTGCGCGCACTTTGGATAAAAATATATTAGGCTGCTTTTTCCATTACCATCGCCGGTGTTCTCATTCCGATAAGCTACTCACTATAATATAGTCACGCGTTCCAGTGATTCGGTTCTAAGAGAACGGAGGTGTTAACAAATTCCGTAAAATTACTCGCTGCGTTGTTACAAGCTCTCTAGTAATTTGCTATTAATAAAACACGGGTATTGAAAATAATTTTGGATCTTCACACATTAACCACTTCGATACGGCGCTCACCGGCCTGGCGGGTTCATATCACGGCCGTCGACTAAAGTCGACGCTCGGCTGTGTGCGCTCATCTGTGTCCGTCGACTATAGTCGACGCTCGTACCGAAGTCGTTAAGGACCCGTTCCGTAAATCGCGGGAAAGTGGAACCGAGCTTCGAGTGCTCGAGAAGAGCCGCAAACCGTGGCCAATGTTTTCTCGAGTTCCACTTTCGCCAAACGCGGCTAGGAGCTTAAAATTAGGAAAAACGCGAGGCTGTTCGGCTTACCAAGTGCCGAGGTAGAAAAGCACAACATTGGGAAAATCCCGCACGCAAGGGAAACGAATGTCGACCGTTTTCGGGAATTTCGCTAGACCGGTCGACGGCGCCCGGATGAGCTTTCATCGAATTGCGCCCTTCGAAAGCCCCCGATAAAGTTTCAATTGGAAAACAAGAATTTCCCGATAGCACGCCGAACATTTAGCAATCAATCAGTTCGCCTGGGGCATTTGTGTGTTTTTTTTTTGCTTTTTTTTTTAACCTCACCCCCGCCGATTGTGCCTTTTTCGCCCCGTTTCGGGAAAAATCATCAGAAATTCCCGCGCACGTCCTGGCTAGGCTGGTAATTAACGCGAAGCTTAAAAATGGCCGCCCAATGGCGCGCACTTCCTATGGTGCGTCCGATAGAGCGTTCAGCCATTAAAGCAGGCCACATGAAAGCACAGAGGCGAATCCCCCGGTGAAATATTCCGAATAATCGATGCGCCCCTACCGTGGAGCGAACGTCGCGGAAAACCGGCGAAATTAAATCCCGGGATTCGGGGGGATAAATCCGCGGTTCCGCGGAAGCCAGAGTCAGCCATTGACATGTACGGCCAACTAGATTCGGAGTCCATGAAAATTTCACCTTATTTTCCCCGGGCTCCGAATCCGAGGGAAAAACCGATTAAAATCATAAAATCTAAGAAGGGCACCCACGATCTCCTCTACCCCACTTATTTCCGCATAAATTGAATTTATTCCACGCTACGTCAAAGTTATAAAATTAAACGATCAAAGTTCCACGCGGCCACCTTTCTGTAATTATCCGGCACCCATAAACCACGGTTTATGGTGTTACGGAGTTAGATGGAGGACGCACCATCGCCGACCTCTCTATCCTCATGAATATCCTTGTGAATCCGTCAAATTATTAGTCATGGGAGCCGCTGAGACCCCGAGCGTAAAACCATCGAGAGACGTACAGCCCCCGCTAAGTCACCGCTTATCGTAATTTACGTTCACCGTGGACGTCCAATTATTACTTCTAACGTCATACCTCGGATAGCTATTCCTGAAGAATTGAAACGTACCGTTACGCGTTCGTCCGTCCTATCGTAAAATCTCAGATAATTATTCACGGCCTTTAGCGGCGCATCCATAACCACGAAATTATTAGATATACGATGGTCGGCATAATTGCTTGAATTCCACCAAAAATCCTTACACCCCAATTCGGAATTTATTGAAATTCCATTCAACTCGCCGGTCCTTTGGAATTTTTTTCCTTATGGAGAATAGATTATAATTTATGATGTGTCAATTTCACGGAAATAGGAGGCATGGAAATATCAACACGAATGACGCGTCACGTTACATAAGAGTTGCCGATCAGCGTTGCTGATATCGGAGCAGTGACGTCATAGTTGTCACTAATCGATACCTCATTGTCCGAAACACGTCATGGCTGTTTTCAAAATTCTCTACGGGGAATAATCCCCAACGCGTGTCACGGATGTTGGCACGGTTTTAACGGTGACATCACCGAAGGTATTCACGCGTGAACATCAGGCAAGAAGTAGGTTGATAGGTCGGCCATGTACCCGTGTACATTGGTGATACAAGCGTGTCATTGTATGCATTCTCCCGTACTCCCATTAATTGTGGATAAGTAACCGATCTTGCTAACGGATTCAAGGAATCGGGAAACAGTTCCCTGATTCTCTCGGGAAGTAAATGGGCTTCTAAGGAAAAGCGTACTCCGCCATTAATGTGCATACAGGGTATTACACTGCATACTCAGTACACTGTATGCAGTACGAGACTAAAAGCATGGGGGAATTTTAAATCCTCTGTCAAGCTCGGAACAAGAATGAAAGGAAGATATAATTAAAAGAAATTTTCTCTCAAGGTGGACATTGTATGTCGAAAAGTACTCCAACTTAAATATCTACCCAACATGGTCGTTAACATGCATACAAAATATACGCTGTTCAGCAAAAAAAAAACCTGCAATATTTAAACATCGAAGTTGTTACATGTCTAATAATCACAATTACCATTTCTTTACATTATTCTACACAATACTTGTTAGCGTTCGATTTGTACGATTTTTATTTTTAGGTATTGTGGCTTTTCTGGGAAAAAGGAGAAAGGTTCAAAAGATAAATAGTGAAGTAATTGAGATAAATTTCCTTCCAGAATTGAAACTTCATTCCGAAGGCTACTCAAGTGTGAAGATTTATTTAATAGGATGCAGATAGTGTTTTATTGAAATTGTGGATGATTCTTGAATACATAGGTGTATAAAGTTCAGATGTATAGATGGAAGAAATAATATTGCAGCGTCGTAAAATTATTGCGGCAATGAGAACAGGATTCTCCTGAGTATGACGTACTCCGATGGTGCATTGTTCGAATTTGCGAATGAATAGCGGCATATTTCAACAGGCCATTACAATAAGCCGCAGGTTATTTTCGAAGTCAAGGAGAACTCTTTCCCCTTTCCTTAATTCGAATTAACCTGGAAATACGCGATGTTATTCGCTTTATAAAACTCCCACGTCAGGCTTAAAAATAAACGCTAACGTGAATAAAATTGTATTCAATGCAATATGCCGTCGATTCGTTATTATTAATAAATATTTCATAAGGTATATCCAGCGACCGTTCCCCGATCTGCCGATATAAAGCCACGCAGTTGTTTGCAATTCTCCATCGTAAAATAAATATAAAATGCCTGAAGATGCATTCGATAAGCACGAGACTTCGGTTCTTCTACAAACAATCGATAAAGTACGAATATAGTGAATCTACTGTACGCAGGAGAAATAATATTTAACCATGACCTAAACTTCATTCAATAAAGACTCTACGAACGAAAACTTACTTACACCATAAATGCGCGATTATTAATAAAAACGTGTTTATACCTTCTGATCGATGAGAATAAAAGTGACTCAATTTTCTTCTTGAATTATGATGTGAAAAATTGAGTCGGGAGAAATATTTAAATCATTGTAAACAGAGAATCATCGAGGAATTGTCTCGGTCACCACGCTACTCGCTTATGCACCGCACAAACTCGACGAACTACGATTACGCGCAATTGCTTGAATACACGAGGATGTATAAATATTAATGGGTGCAGCGAACGTATACAAGGAAAAAAGTGAAGTCTCCAAATAAGCCCGTTCAGCTGCGCCGACATGTACGACCCTCTATGTGCAATTCTCTATGCACACGATGACATAACGTCATGACGTGCCACGTGGTAACGATGAACCCGAATAATTACACATAATTAGGCACGACAAACTAACGACGAAAATCATGATCCAGGAAAAAGAGTTAAATGAAAAAAAAAAATACGATACTGACTCGCTGGAGTAAAAATTTCTGCTTCAATTATTTATTTTGAAAATAATCGCCCTTGTTTCTCAACAATGCTCGACGCACTCGAAGGACAGTCTCGAAGAGTCGTAAACTTGAACGTGGCGACTGCAAGTACAAAAAAAAACACAATGGAGTGCTTTCTCGCGACCAGGGTCGCGAGCTATTTCTGTATAGTTGGGTGCATAAACACTCGACTCCCTTCCCGTATGCAAAGCATTTTCCCGATATACTCCAGGATCTGCCATTGCTTGAAATGAAATAATTCTGAGATTTAATTTTAATAAGTGCATCATATTTTATTTTTCAAGCCCTGTAAATCGCCTCGTTAACGAGGGTGGAAATTATTCGAGAGGCATAATTAATGTCACGGGGTGTACTTCTTCCCACGCATGATTACGACCCTGAGTGCACATCGCGCAGACTTGGACGTCGGGAAAAAATATGAACAAGTCCCTTGAATGAACCCACGCGGCGAGACGCGCCTCTTCTCTTCGTTCCGAGTTTTTCCTTCGACTTTCGCATTGCACCTAAGTGCAGTGCGCGTTAAAGGGCCCCTCCACACCGAGCGACGCAACCCCGCAAAACGCCCACGCGTTCATTCGACGTTACGCCCAAGACGTCTCTCTTTGCGAACGGCGATGACTTCGCTCGTGAAAATCATGGATCTGTCCACGTTTCCCAACGTC